ATTTAGATGCAATTGGCCTAAATCTAGATGGTAGTATCTAAGCATTTCCCCTATGAATCCTTTATGAGGAAAGAAATACCTCATCACGTACATGCAAAAAAATTTATAATTTTAAAATGACTCTAAAAAAAGCCTAAAGTTTCCAAGCTAATATGCTTAGTCTGGTTAGGTATCTAAGTTATATATTCTCTTGGCTAAATACGAGAAACAAACTTTATATCTTCCACACCTAAAATGCTGGGAACGTCATCCTTAAAGGTCTAAGGTAGCCTCCCTCTCTCTTAGGATTCCCTAATAATAGAAAGAGAAGAACTTCTATAAGGAGAGCTACTCTCATCTCTACTAAAGATGGACATCAAGTTATCACCCTCTCTAATTTTGTGGCCTATTATGATGGACCCCATTCCCCTTGCCACTTCTCATAGTCTTAAGTTGGAACCTGAACTCCTTTTCAAAAATAGCGACACCTCTTTTTAAAAATATATCTTAACTTTTTTGGGTTCATGTTTTTGTTTAAAGTAGAAAAAGAAAGAAGCCAATGATGGAAAATACCTAAAAATGAGTTTGTATCCTTAGATTAGAACTAAAATAGTTAGGGTTTTTCAACATGGTAGTTTTTCATAAATTACAAACAATAAAAGAAACAACAAAGGCAAAAACAGATAGGGTTATAAAGGAAACATCTTTATACCCTCACCATTAGATGAATGGATTTTCATGTCTTCTTAAATCTCTAGAAACTCTCTCAAATACTACATTAAATGCAAGTCATCATTATGTTTCCTAAGAGTTACCTCCTTTAATAAATATTAGTCATCTAACCATAACAATCCTGACAATTCTATATGAGAGAGCTAAATTAAATTTTATAGGGAAGGTAAAAAAAGTATTATTTACTACTAATAACCTTTCGAAATCTTCGTGTAATAAATACACAAAAACCTGAAGGGCTACTGATGGATCAACATGTTATGTTCTTTTTTTTATTATCCTCATTTAAAAGAACCAAGGCTCAGGCGACAACCTAATATCTTTGGGTTCAGCCAAATGCTGAGCCGAAGCATATATGTGCATGGTGAACTGCTAGAACCAACATCCTTGAACTTAACCAAGCACTGATTTCACATGCTTACGAAGATATTTTCCTTGTGAAAAAGTCAAAGATATTTTCTCTTTGGTAAAGTCAAAGATATTTCCTCTCTGATAAAGTCAAAGATATTTTTTTTTGACAATTTAGGATTAAAAGGATAAGAAAAATAGGCTATAAAGACCCATTAGATCTTTAAAAGAGGAGGTTTTAAATCTTTATTTTTCATAGCTTATTTATTTTCAAAATCTTTCTTTAAAATATCATTATATTTTTTCTCAAAATAATACTTACATAAACATTAAAGAGTCCTCAAATCTATAAAAAAAATAACCTTTTACACCCTTAGCCACCTTGACAAGAGAATGAATTGAATTACCATAATCAAGAGATTAACTAATTATCTAACATATGAGCATTGTTTTTAAGTTGTTTAGATTTTTAGAATATCATCAAGTTCAAATCACAATGAACTTGTAATTAAAAATGAAATTCTTATAGACTTTCATCAAATTAAAGAAAATGATTTTTTTTTGCATGAAACTAATTAAAGGATACATGCCCATAAATAAAAATACAAAAATATAAAAGAATGTGGAAGCATATAGACAGGAGTGATTATAGAGTTCATATTTTTAACTAGTGCATTTTAGGTTTGTTCCATGGAGAATTAAATGGCTTTGGACTTGCTTACTCTCTTTTTTTATGGTCTAGATGTTTTTAATGAATCCTGATTTATCCTTAGAAGAAATAATGTCTTGCACATATAAGGAAAGAAAACTAAATCTTAAATCCGAAGATAGAATCTATAATAAAAAGTTTTCAAAATTCAGAAGGGCCATCTTGCCATGCCTGGATCTTGATTCCATTGCCGAATATCTTTTTATAATCGTTGTTCTCGAAATATTCTATACCAAATTGTTTGATTAATAATAAGAACAAAAAAAGACGCAGAATCATAACTATACTTATCGACAATTTACCCTTGTTTGTGAGAATTACCTTTGAGTGAAATTTTCATTTTAAAGCCCAAGGTTTTCGTATGCCTATACCTTTGCTAATGTGATGCAAAGATATATCTCTATTCAGTTTCCTCACCATTCAATCCTCAACCATATTTACATGTTCTCGTCCCTTTCTTCACACCATTTTAAAGTGGGATTTACATCTGAAACACATGAAGAAGGCAATCTCTTTAATAATGTAGCATTTGAGGGTCATTTTGGAAAGGCATGGATCCAGAAGAAAACTTGGAGGGCCCCTTCAGAAAAGGTCATGCATGTGATGTTGGTAGAAGTTGAACTATTAACAAAGGTAGGACAATTATTACACTACCGATAGTGAGTGAAGCGATGAGATAATGATTATAATAATTATAATAATAATAATAATAATAATAATAAACTTCAGCCGTATTGTATAATTTTCTTGGCAGAGTAAGTGAGGGAGAAGCCATGGAGAGAAAAAACAATCCCATGGAAGCTTCTATTGCCTCTACCTAACACCTTTGAAAAAGAAAAGGAAAAAAAAAGGGACAATAGTAGAAAAGAGGGTACCTTTTCTGTATGGGAATGGCCATGCCGTTTATTTTCCTTTCCTTTTTCTGCAAGGATCAGTAGCTACCATACTCGCCCTCATCTTTGAACTAGATTTTCTTAATTTGACAGGGCTTCAGGAGTGAGGGTTCATCTCTTTCTTCTTTGGCGTTTCTCTCCCGTAGTTAATATCTTTCTATTTTTAATCGTACTAAAGTTATTTAATATTGGCTCCATAATGTGAATACTGTTGTTTTTATTATATATATGGTAGTTAAGCAAGCCAAAATAGTGAAGAGGCCAAGTACTTTGGGACCCCAGTGACATAATCCACATTGAATTGATGTAGCTCGTGGCTTTACCATTTGGGTGATGGGTGCTCCTCTCTTTATCAAGGAATTTGTAAATTTCAGCTATATATGAAGAATTGGTCGAGTCCATTTATTAATTTTGAGAAAAAATAATAATAATCTACAAAAAAACATATCAATATATAAATGGCGTCTTCAGAATTCATGGTGAGTTGTTCACACATGAGTTCCCAAAAGTTGCATTCGGGATTCCAAGATCCCAGCATGCATGGATGCCCTTAATTCCCACTAGCGTGTAAACAAATTCCAGATGAGTTGATTATTCGCAATATAATTTAAGTTGAATATTATTTTTATTTTTTTTTATTTACGTGGGGTGTCCGGGTCAGCTTGCGCGCACTACGACTAATCCCTACGACCCACTGAATACCCTGTAAATCCAGTAGACATGTAAGGCACCGTGAGGTGACAGGCGTGCACGTTAAGATTCAAACCCAGGTACAGTAAAAGAAATAAATTCCTTCCACCGCTAGGTTAAGTACTGGAATGCAAGTTGAATATTGTTTGATAAAAGCAAAACAAGTTAAGTGATTTCTGGCTTGATTGATTGAACTTTTTACCTAATAAAGTTTCAATAATTAATTATTAACTACAATTCATACGTTAGTAGCAGCATTTTATTTAATAAGGCATGTGAAGTCAACAATAATTTTGCGCCTCCTTCAACTAATTCATCGGATTGCCCAGCTGGTTCTTGCACTACTTTGATAAATCATGGAACAAACCCTAATTAATACCTTATGGTGCTTGATTAATTCGAATGTAAAGAACTGATTCGAGAATGCCTCGGTAACAATCTAAAATAAATTGTGGGAGGTAAACCGCAGGGTACGTGTCCGAATTAAACAAAAACCATTGTTAGGGTTAGGGTTTGACCCGTATTCAATTGTGCAGTGCAGCTGGTTGGATCATGGGGCTTCGATAATCAAATATTAGGTTGGTAGAATGGGGTGGTACTACGGACAGTTGTTGGTTCCTCTACACTTCTTTTTTATAGAGTAGGGTTTCTGTGCTTTTATTACAATATAAAAGATGGGTTACCCACCACTCCCATCCTCCTCATTTCTCCTCCGCTCACAGCTTATCCATTTTCTACAAAAGAAAATCGAACTTTTCCAATGAAGACAAAGCCCAAAAAAAGAATCTAAATCGGAAAAGAAAAGGAAATATAAAAAATGGATCAGGGTGGAGGGCATGATAAACTTTCAGAATATCCTTGCCTGCTGGCAGCAAATAGCAACGACTAACAACATGGACCTTTTGAACATCTGACATCGCCCAACTTTCCCGGAAAAAGAGAAGGAGAACCGAGAAAAGAAACGAAATCATGTACATGTCAAAAGCAAGTAATATCTCGATGAGTGGAAAACATTCACCAGTTATAATGATCACTAAACTGTACAAATAGTGTATTCATACAAATTAGAGATTAGGAAAAATAAAAGATGAGAGAGATTAATTTAAGAGATTTTCAATCTAATAGCAATCCCTTTTATCATTTCTCTCCGTTCTTTTTCAACTACAACATCAACATTAATTAGCTCCAGGTATCTTTAATCATTTCATCTCCAAACCTCTATAATCCAATACACCACTTTTCATCCCTAAGAAGTCATAGCCAGTTTTGGAGCCAGCACTAGTGCTGCTTCCAATAGTACCCACAATGACACTGCAACTGCAGTCCTTGCTGTTTTGCAGCCCCAAGCTGCAAGCAAAACAAAGACTTGTACTCCCTCCAGTTTTGAATGCCTGGTGACGATCAGGCTGGTTTTGGCAAGGAAGGCTAATTCTAAGTTCAAGATTCAAGTCTGGACACCTTTCTTGAACTGGGGTTTTCTCTTCTTTGCATATAAAAGCAGCCGCGCTAATTATCTTCTCCTTAGTACTTTCCTCTTTAACAGAACTCAACGACTCTTCTTTAACTGAGGTAGTAGTGCTGAAAGATATTGTTGTTGAAGCTTCTTGGGCTGGTTCATTGAGTGGCCTATGAGTCGCAGGATCTATGCCTCTATTCAAGAGCTTCCTTTTTATATGTGTGTTCCAATAATTCTTTATCTCATTATCTGTTCTCCCTGGTAATCTTCCGGCTATAAGTGACCATCTACAACAAAAATAGCAGACACCATTAGCATAAAATATTCAACCTTAGCATAAAGGGTTAGGTTTTTTCAATTATTACTCGGCTAGGCTTACTTGTTGCCGAGGAGACTATGGAGTTTGATAATGAGCTCATCTTCTTCTTCAGTAAAATTGCCACGTTTAAGATCAGGTCTTAAATAGTTGATCCAACGAAGTCTGCAACTCTTGCCACATCTTAGAAGGCCAGCAGCTTTAGGAAGTGAACGCCAGCAACCTTCACCGTGGGTTCTAATGTAAGCAACAAGGCGATCATCTTCTTCCTTGGTCCATGCACCTTTGTTTGTATGAGCTTTTTCACAGCAAGGAGACCTTCCCATTTCAGTAGGATTTACAAGTAGGAATGGCAACCGCAATGTTTTTGGTGCGGCTTTCTTCTTCTTTTTGACCGGCGTGCGGTACTGCTGTAGTAGAAATGGAGGCCTTCCTTCTTTTTCTTGTTGCTAGAACATTAAGGCCGGCCCTTGAGATTACTCGAGAAGTGATTTTATAGGCATTTGACTCTTTGGGTGTGTGTGTGTGTGCGCGCGCGCGCGTGTGTGTGTGTGGGAGAGAGAGAGAGAGAGAGAGAGAGAAGTGACCCTAATTGCTTCTAGATGTGAGTTGGTGAGACAGGTTTGAGGGAGTGGCTGGTGGTATCTCTCTAGATGATACAACTTGATGATACTAGCATCAAATAAGGAACATTAAACTCTAGGTAACCTTCAGTTAGGTGTAAAGTAATTTTATATTTAATTAAAGCCAAGACAAAGTGCGCTATCCCCCCCACTTTTCATAACTGCAGTTCCGTTATTTCTTTAATTTTATCTTTAATTCAGTTTTGAAAATAAATTTTAAAAAAGAAAAAAATATTATTATTTTAAAAAAAAATTAAATAAAAAATACTTTTTATCAGCCCTCCCATAACCATCTTAAACTCCGAAAAACTTTTGATTAACTAAGTTCAGTTACCTCTCAAATCTTCCCCATCTCACCAGACAGCACATGTACCAGAATTCACGGACACCCCTTATATTTATATCCTTGTTGCTGTTGGGACTGACACCAATGAGGGAGTGGGTCTGTAGCAAGGTCCAGTTTCGGACCTTTTCTAAGACCAATAACCTTGCTTCCATGATTCTTGATTATCCAATTTATCTTGCAATTAAAATATTGGTTACATCATTCTTCCTCATCTTTTGTTATTAAAAAATTATAGTCGTGACTTGTAAGTAATGAATCAGTATTTTTTTGTTTTTATTTAGATCTGTTTTTCAAAAAAAATAATTGAAGTGAAGTTGGTACTTATTATCTTTAAGCTTAAGTGCTGGTTTCATATTTTTTTTTAACGTCAAAAATATTTTATTATGATAAATTATAAATATTTTGTTGATATTTGAATTATTTCTTTTCAATAAAAAGTACAAAGGATCTAAAAAGGGAGGAATATCCCTAAAAAAGGGTTCAATTTTCCTCCACAAGAAATAACATATATATTTTAGGATTTTTTTTAATTATAATTGTTTTCTTTTTCAAATGATACTTATCAGAGAGTCCTTAAATATATATATTTAAAAAAAAACCCTTTTATAAATATCAAATATAAAAAATAGTTATTTATTTAAGAATAAATAGATTAAATTATCAAAAAATTAATCAAATATTCATATATATACAGCTTGATCCACGAGTCCATATAATAAACTTGTGCTGGTAAGTATAGAATTCATCTCTATGCGTGAGAAAACAAATGAAGTTTGAATTTGATAATTTGGGTTCGGGCTGTTTCCAAGGCTCAATCATGAAGTTTTTTTAAAACTCAAAATCCATTAAAAAATCCATTACTTAAATGAGTAAATATTGATTTGATTTTAGCTCATTGCCATTGAAGCAAGTCTTGAGACTAGTTTAGGTTTAAAAAGGTCAAGTTAGGTTAATTGTTTTCAGGGGATGTAAATCATACTTTTGCCAAGTTAGTAAGTTAGTTGTGATGGGTATTTTGAAAAGAAATGCTATAGTGGCTTGGCAGTTCTTGAGATATTCTTGTGATTATAAGTGTGCATATGGTAGTTGTGGTTCTTTATTCTATTGGTACACTACACTATCATGCATGAGAGAGAGAGAGAGGGGGGGGAGGGGTTTCTAGAAAAGATGGAGGTTGGGTTCAAGGGAAGATGATGTAAGAAAAGGGAAGAATAGGAAAAAAGATAAAGAGTGTGGTTGTGGTTGTGTGTGTGCTTCGGTTCACCTTCCACCTTTTCCCTTTTCTTTCCCTAACCTTGTGGTGCAAGTTTAGGCAACAAGGGTGGGCTTAGAGATGGGAACTGGGAAGGTTGGTTCACCTTTTTGTTGCTATTCTCTCCCCTCCATTTTGCATATTATTTGTTACCCACCACCACACAGTCTCTCTCCCCCTCCCTCCCTCATCATGAAATCCAAGTGGATTTTTAAGGGTTAAGAATCATGGGCAGGAGTAGTTGTCAAAGGGGGTGAGAGAGGGAGGGAGGGAGGAATCATGGGCAGGAGTAGTTGTCAAAGGGAGTGAGAGAGGGAGGGAGGGATGGATGGATGGATGGATGGATGTCCACTTGTGTAAAAATTATCTGTGTATTTCACCTACTTTTTCACCCTTTCTAACCGTCCTCACTTGGATGTTGAAACTTTTCATGATTTTATTCCCATAAAAAACGCCCCCCCGCCCCTTTTTCACATAACCCACCTAAGCTTATCCATGTAGCTTTCAGAAATTAATCAACCAACAAGGACAAGTTGCTGCTACATTACTAATTACGATCTCAAAAAATAAAGGAGGAAGGTAGAGAGGGATATTCTTAACCAAAGAAAAACTTGCTCTTCCAACATACATAGTACTAGATGCATTTCTTTTTTATGCATAAATTATTCGTGTTTCTGTTGTTTCAATCAAATAGAAACTCATCACCACTATCAGGTAGGTTAGTGTACACTGTTGGTTGGCACAAATGTGTCTATGCCTACTGGTCTTCTCTGCTAGTTGCACACGAGCAAATGACTGCCCAGAAAGACATAAAAAAATAGAAGGGAGAAAATGAATCGAGTTTATAATTAGGTACGATTTGTTTTTTAAGGACTTGGTACTTACAGAGAGGGCTTAATCCAGAACTAGTGGTGATATCCAGCAAAGCAGACACGTGAATGACATGTGCTTAGGTACTGAACGATACTTGTGGGACAGTCCTAAAAACTCTTTACGTACGTCTGTGGCAGCCCTTCCCGTCTGAGACTCCTTAACCTTGGCACAAAGGTCAGCTTTCCATGACCCGCAATTAGGATGGAGCCTTAAACTATGCTTTCTCCAAACCAAATTAATGCCCTTTTATTATTTGGTTACATAATTGATAGAGAAAAGAACCAATCAGATCTACATCCATCCTAACCAAATCCCATTTTTATTTAGGGTAATCCTGTTCCGTGTAAACGAGGATCTGTTAGCACCACAAAATGGGAAAGGAGTCTTATAGTAGAATAGCAAATACAGGGTCATAGAATAATAACCGCAATAGAGGACACAAGGAGAGATCTATTTGCAACAGTAATTAGGATCCTCCCTGATTCCTTTTCCTACCCTGATTCCTCTCACAAGAAGAGATCTCTGTTCAATTTCATGGAAGCAAAACCCAACCCTGTTTTCTGCACATACAAGTAGCAAGTTATTCACCGCAAAAAGGTGTGTTTAGCTGTAAAATTATGCAACTGTTTAGTTATTAAAAGAAAAGGTTATCTTTCTGATCCGATGCTAGGCAAACCATCCAGGCCAGAACTGGTGCATTCATGAAAAACTTTTTATCTCATGACCTACCGCTGAATTTGAATCCAAGATGGGAACTGGGAAAGTAGGAAATGAGCCCACTTCCATTTGTGCATCCGCAACCTGTGCTCCGTAACAATGAAAATACTGTTTAGATAACCAAGTTTCGTCTCAGGTCATTAGACCCCTCAAGCAGCCCAATGGAGAGAAATTACGAGGGAATCAAGAAATAAGGTTATCCAATCATGATTAAAGTTCAGAATCAAAGATTTTTTTTATTTGTCGTTTACTTGATGTAATGTGGAAAGTGGAAAGGAGATAGTACATAGACTCCCGCAATTCATGAAAGCATTAAAATATCTATCTTGATATAAAGTATGAACAATGACACATGACATATGCAATTTTACTATAGCCACACACCCAGCTCTTCCAATCTACTGCTTATCGTTTGAAATGAACATTTAAACCAACTGCATTGAAAAAGTTAGATTCACTATTAAAGATAAGAAAGAAAGTATCAAAAGAAGTATGGGCACGCACCTAATCCTTCTTACCAAAGTCTTTAATGTAGGAGACATCATCCTGTTAATAAGATGTTACTTTCCAGCACACAACAGTCAGCGATTTGATCAAAGATATTATTCTTAAGAAAATCATTTGTCATACATGCATTTTGATATTGACTTTGCAATGAAATGGGATTTGGTTGTATTAAGTAAAGTGGGAGTTTTTTACTATTATTGGGTACAATACTGAGAATTCAGCTCGTGGGCTGTAAAAATTAAGTAAATTGCCACAGAATTATTAAGAGAAAATAACAATACATAGAAGGTCAGGCAATGTCTAATTCATTTTTTTGCGAACTTCATAAAAATAGCCAAGGATCACAACAGCTGCCGCAACTGCTACTCCAACTGCACTTTGGGCTAGTACAGTGCTGTCCTTTACCTTGACTACAGAGGACCTTGGAGCGAACCCCAGTTCTGATAGCTTCTTATGCGATGCAGCGTAGTCTCTAAAGAATGCTTCTTCATCCTGAGAAGCAACAAAAATTGAAGAGAGATATCAGATATCATATTAGATAGCCAAGGTGAAGCAACAGAAATAAACCACATCACAAGTCATCCCACACTAAGAATCTAACTGCGACACCAATCTGAACGTTGGGTATTCTTTATTAATGATTCTAGATCGAGGTGCAAATCAAGGCACGTATTTACCCTTGCGATTCCCAATCGTAAGGCAGGCCATAAGAACCCTTAACAGAAGCTCGAAAAAGGCCACATAAGGCCCAATTTAGGGTAAGATTAGATTATGGTCCAAGCCAACCCCGGACTATTTAATTATTGTTCAAAAAAAAATACTTGGGGTCATTTGAAAAGGAACTATCAAAAGGCAATGAAAATGCATAAAATCAGGTTTCAAGATGGTCAAGCCAATATTTTTATCCAGACCCAACCTGCATGGAAAAATCAACTCAGGCTGCAAGGGGATAGGAAAAGTTATGATGACCCATTCATGAAACAAGTTATTTGGTCGAAACGAAAGCCCATATTACCTTAGCATACAGCTCAACATATGGACGAAATTCCGGGTCATCCAATAAAGCAGTGTCTGTTGGAAGTTTCAACAACCCCTCTGTCTGCCCTTTCAATAATTCCCTAGTATCAACAGCGCGTTAAAGATTGATTAATTTCATAATTTCTACACAACGAAACACGGTAGCATGATGAGCTTGCATTAAAACTTACAC